ATATTAAAAAACGGTGGAAATTAATATTCAAAAAAAACATCGCCCTTCGTGTCATTTTCAAATTCGCATCGAAGAACTGAGGGATTCAGAACGCCAAAGCATTTTTATCTCTCATCAATGCCATCGCTCCTTCAGAGGGCAATTGTCATCATTCCCCCAAAGCAATCACAATTCTTCCGTTATACTATCCCTCACCAAAATGTGAAATGAAACGTTGGATGGATTTGATTCTTCATTTGATCAACTTTCTTTCATTCTTTATTTATCATTCTTACTGATTATTCCATCAGTAAGAATCGATCGGTCAAGCGGGAAGAAATGTTTTGTTGACGATTAACTCCCTGAAGATCACTGTAGAATTAATGGCGAGAGATAATAACACCCATCATCTGAATTGATAGAACGCAGGAAGCTCGATAAGCATAAAAACTGCTATGATGTTCTCTCCAAGCAATGAAATTCAAACAGTGACGCTTATTATGAGCGGTAAAGGTAAAATTTCTTACATAACTCACAATGTAAAGCATTTCAGTAGTTAAAAAATAGGAAACTTAGCTGTCCTTCCAAAGTTTTTGCCCGATATTAGCAGTGCAGCACTTTTTTAAAACAAATACAGTGCTTCCCAAAATACTGTTTGCATGCATTTATTATGTGCGATACAGAGCATAATTTATACTTACTTTCCTTGCGTCTTTTCACATTTTTCATTAACTGATTAAACAAACAGAAAAATTTGTTTACAAATGATCATCTCTGCTGATCGTTTTCTTTCAGAACATCAATAAATATGAGGCAACTTCAATTTTCATATAAAGAGATCATTTGTAAAAAAGTGACACATATATAGCAACTATAATATATTGTCAATTATCGGTAAAGCGGACTTCCAGCATTAATTTGTAGTTCTGAAATAAGTAAATTTGAAACAATATATAGTTTTAATGGGTAATACTTGTTTATGCAAGAACTTTATAAAATCTGCCTTTGGACCGTTTTCTGAAAATAATGTCAAAGATTAGATCAACTGCTTGATTCTCAATGCAGCAGATTCTTATCACAGAGAATAGTGCTTCAAATTTTGAGCCATCAAAATGTGTTCATTCTACAATATGTTGTCAATCTGCAGCTATCTGCACTTTTCTCGAAAATCGTCCGAAAAGTATTCTCTCAAATACGAGGGCTGTTTACTTGAAATTACCTCGCAAATGTTACCTACCATTCTCAAACTTCACAGCTGTTGTCCAACAATCTTCATCAACGATTTTCTCGCCTTTCAGTAATGTTAACAGTCTGGAACAAAATAAAAGGCATAATTGTAAGGCCTTAAACTTCACAATAACATTACCCTTTCTAAAACATTACCCTTTCTAACATAGCAATATAATGTAAAGCCATTCAATAAAATAAATACTTTGGCTAATCTTAATCTGCGAAAATTAAGCAAAAAATATCCTAACACGTTACAAGCTTACAAATCTCATGAGAAAATAACAACTTGGAAATGGCTAGCTGCCGATGTAATCGAGCCGAGTTATCATCCGTATTCCTACATATCTGCTGCATCTTCAAGAAATTTTCAACTGCCATCTGAAATTTTAAACATATTGCTTTTATTCGAATTTTTTGAAACTGTTCATCAAAAATGTTTTTGGAATAAATTTGAAACTAAAACTAAAAGTACTTACTTCTTCTACAGTTTTACAGATACCGACGTTACAAAAACTTTTGGAACAAGACAAAATTGCATGGCGACAAAGATTAAGTTCACTTTTATGTTCCATAGCATATTGCTGCACGAAATTTGCATTCTTTGGGCACGGTTTAGGTACAATCATCGCAAAATCTTCCTAAGAACAAATTAAGTAAAATTTGAAAAAAAGAGAAAAAATATTCAAAATTGAAACAAAATGGAGAAAATTTTTGATCCACTGATAATCCGATAATCAATTTTCGTAGCTTTTCTTTTTTGACAATGTTTAAGAATTTGGTTATTTTATTTGTCCAATGATTTGCAGTCAATCGTTCCTGATTTTAGATTTGTAAATGAAATGAAGTAAACACTTGGCCAAAGAAACATTTTTCGCCGCTCAAAACAAGTATGTTTATGTTGGATTCGATTTCCACCGTTTGATATGGAAAAACGAATGGTATTTTTCGAGTAGATAAGAAATTTCTGATCAAATTGCAGTTCTCATGTCCTACAAAGAATCAAAATTTTTACAACAGCCGTAAACTTGCGCAAATGCATCTGTTCTATCAGGACAGAATTATCTGGGATTTAAAAATTTAGAATCTAAAATCTAAATTTAGAATTATATTCATTCCGAAGAAGAATTCAATGTATTTTCCTTCTTCAGCATATATCTGTTTTCCAATCCATTTCTTTTAACTTGGCACGACAGTATTTAACCCAGTTTTATTCGAGAAAAAGAATTCATGAAGCAGTGAGTCAATCATATCATCGTTTTACAAAAAAAAAAATCCACTTTCAACCGGAAAGAAAATGTCAGTTGTATCTTGGATTAAAATTTTCGTTAGAAAAAAAAGTAAGAAAAGTTACAATGTAAAATGTGACTGGTACCAAAATGATTGAAACAAATATAAAGTCTAAATGATTTGATAAAAAAGTACCTTTTTTGGTGAGCAATAAGCTGTCTAGCGATAATTTAGTTTCGTCAATAATGATTAAAGTATTATCGGATACTTGTAGCAGACCTTGTTCGAAACCGCTTTGAGGTTCCTCGTATGACGCCCACGATTGTTCCATTGTTTTTTGCATCATCTCAATAACATGAATCTGAAATTCACTCCTCAATGCTTCTGAAAATCGATTTTGAATCCATAAATTGGAAATGATATATCAAATCGCAACAAAGAGAAAACTAGAAATTTCTGTTGTTACCATAGACTTTTCATCTTTGCAATATAGAGATTCTTACGTCCATTAGCATTTCAATCATTGTCTGATAAAGAATGGTGTGACTAAGATTCAAATTTTTTACATTTCGTTACTCTATGGTATCCACTCCACAGAATAATGAAATAACATTTCTGAGATGCACTTGTACTACTGATGGGGACTTAAGATACAGCCAAATGTTGTAGATGAAACAAATATATCATTGCTAATTTCAGAAGCGTTTCTACAAGTAATCAGGAAGAAAAAAAACTGACTTACTTTTGGCATGAAAAGTTTGATCATTTCAATTATCAATTTGCTGTCATATACCTTTTTTATTGTATAAGGAAAAGTAGGTATTGGCGGTTGAGAGTGTCTGAAATTAAGCTAAAAAATACGTGTTCCACATTTTAAGCAGTAGCTACTTTTTCATCAAATCAAAAGAAATTAGATGGGATTAACTTACTGCGAAATGAACAACTGAAATGCTAGAGATTGCGCAATAACTTTATTTCCGAAGAGTTGTTCGAAAGCATAAATCAATGATTCAAACCCGTGCATGTTTTTATGCTTTAGCACCTAGAACGCTTTTTACAAGCAGAATGTAATAATGTAGTGTATATGTACGCAGTGTAAAAATTAATAAAGAAAAAAGATTACATTGAAGCTAAACAAAAATAAATGCTTAAAGCGACGCAGAAATTATTGCAAATTATTTTCGCTATGATATCCCTGAGTGGACGATTGCAACGTTGGATTAAAGCAATATTTCAATTTTTTTTAAAATATTAGTGAAAATCTGACCAAAACTGCAGCTATAATCAGCCGAGCATTAGTATTCAATTTTCTTGAGTTTATACTACAATTTGAAATCTAAGATTTAAAAAATACCTCTGGATAAGTTGATGACACAATATCATGATATTTTAATGGTTCGTAATGAATAACATGTAATGACACCATGCTCAATGAACTTTTTGTATTTGAACTATCATCTTCCTCTCTGAAAAAAGGCTCCAAAATCTTTATTACTATAAAAAAAAAACCAAATAAAAGCCGGAAATAAACAAAGAAAAAGCAGCAAAGAGCACTATATAAAGTTTGTAATCTTTCGATATTTCAGAAGGCAACACAATATACGATCACTTCTGCTCAGAGTCTGTATTTATTCCTTCATAACATATAAAAAAATGTTATTGCATAATTACAGAAATTACTTACTCAAATTTTATTTCAGCTAAATCGACAATCCCATACACATCAAACACAACATTTGGTTTAAAATTTTCACTTTCCGTGTCATAAAACTGAAATGATTATTTTTTTTACAAGAATATTCCCAGCATCTTAACATATCTTCCACTGGTATGCAAGTGATACATGGAATTTGAGAAATCCACACGCATACACATACAAATACTTAATCTTCCTAATTTTTTTTAAAAAGTAAAATTTTTATTGATTAAAGATCGCTGACTTTCAAATGATGTAAATAGTTTACCAGAGCATAAGTTCTAGATTCTTCATTTTTGAGAAGCATCTCAGTGTATCCCTGACGATTTTTACCTAAAAATTTTGCCATTATTATAAAAATTTTTATTAAAAAAAAGTGGAATTTTATTCAATCATTCTTTATTCTGGAGGGTATATTGCGCAGATGTTCGAAAAAAGTCATAACATGAAAAAACTAAGTCAATTAGGTCAACGCGGCGAATCGAAGAATATATCTTGATCACGAATGATTCCGACTAAAAACTCTTTAAATTTTTTAAAATAAGGAGATTAGACTATTTAGTCTTTCAGATGTGAAAAATATTAACCGTAAAAAGTCTCCAAGTACCAATCTGTTACCCCTCTTTCTGGTACCAAAATGTACGCGTTTCGGCGAGTCATACCTTTCATTTCCTTGATATTCTAAAAACAAAAACTCTGCGTTTTCCAAGCAGAAAATAGATAAAACCATAAAATTAATCCAAATTCCCACAAATTTATGGAAAAATAAGTAATAGTAACTTAAGGAAGATCAAAAAATTAATCTAACTGAACAGTTGATGCGATTCCTTAAAATTCCACAAACTGTGCGAGTACTACCATCCTCTTCTTCTGTGATTACTGAATTTAATGAAAATACTGTATGGGTTCCACTAAGAATCATTGCACGAACCCGAACCAAATCGCCATGTTTCACTTGATTCATATGGAGATATTTCCAATTCTGAGGTAAATTTAAAAACAAATTAAACAACAGCAGCTCTTTTCATATATCCTACTCACGGTAGTTAAATTCAAGTTGAAACCTTCAATAACTTATACTTGCTACTTGATACTTGATATTATTATATACTTTTCATCTTCACATCAATTTACAACTACCAATAAGAATTATTAATCAGTGCAAACCGATCGCAATATTTCCATTCATACTATTCTTCAACAATTACCATGAATTCATTCTTGTATTTCTCTTTCAGTCTTGCAATCAGCTTGCATGGATCCTTCGTGTATTCTGTGACATTCTCTGCAACGACCATTTTCAATTTGTCCAAATTAAAATTTTGATAGAAATGTTTATTACAACTATTAAAAGTATGAATTTATGAATATGAACAAATTTGTAAATTAAATTCAAATTCGTTTGACTTTTACCAGCATAAAATTAACCATCGAACACATACACACATACACACACACATACACACACACAC